GACATTGAGGGACAAACGAAACTTTGGCGGTAAAAAATTATTTAATGTCCAAGGAGCTAGGTACTATCTCAGTCCAGGACCGGATTTTCGATTTGAAATTTTTATGGTAGATAGAGGGTTACTAGTACTACTCAACCCACCCCTCGACATTGAGGGACAAACGAAACTTTGGCGGTAAAAAATTATTTAATGTCCAAGGAGCTAGGTACTATCTCGGTCCAGGACCGGATTTTCGATTTGAAATTTTTATGGTAGATAGAGGGTTAATAATACTACTCAACCCACCCCTCGACATTGAGGGACAAACGAAACTTTGGCGGTAAAAAATTATTTAATGTCCAAGGAGCTAGGTACTATCTCAGTCCAGGACCGGATTTTCGATTTGAAATTTTTATGGTAGATAGAGGGTTACTAGTACTACTCAACCCACCCCTCGACATTGAGGGACAAACGAAACTTTGGCGGTAAAAAATTATTTAATGTCCAAGGAGCTAGGTACTATCTCAGTCCAGGACCGGATTTTCGATTTGAAATTTTTATGGTAGATAGAGGGTTAATAGTACTACTCAACCCACCCCTCGACATTGAGGGACAAACGAAACTTTGGCGGTAAAAAATTATTTAATGTCCAAGGAGCTAGGTACTATCTCGGTCCAGGACCGGATTTTCGATTTGAAATTTTTATGGTAGATAGAGGGTTAATAGTACTACTCAACCCACCCCTCGACATTGAGGGACAAACGAAACTTTGGCGGTAAAAAATTATTTAATGTCCAAGGAGCTAGGTACTATCTCAGTCCAGGACCGGATTTTCGATTTGAAATTTTTATGGTAGATAGAGGGTTACTAGTACTACTCAACCCACCCCTCGACATTGAGGGACAAACGAAACTTTGGCGGTAAAAAATTATTTAATGTCCAAGGAGCTAGGTACCATCTCAGTCCAGGACCGGATTTTCGATTTGAAATTTTTATGGTAGATAGAGGGTTAATAGTACTACTCAACCCACCCCTCGACATTGAGGGACAAACGAAACTTTGGCGGTAAAAAATTATTTAATGTCCAAGGAGCTAGGTACTATCTCGGTCCAGGACCGGATTTTCGATTTGAAATTTTTATGGTAGATAGAGGGTTAATAGTACTACTCAACCCACCCCTCGACATTGAGGGACAAACGAAACTTTGGCGGTAAAAAAATATTTAATGTCCAAGGAGCTAGGTACTATCTCGGTCCAGGACCGGATTTTCGATTTGAAATTTTTATAGTGGTTCGATTGTACCTAAATGTAGTTTCGTCTATATTTTCTTATAAGGCCCCCTTGCTCTCTTTGTTCACCAAAATCAATCGGTTTAACGGGATCTACCACCGGGAAGGTGAGAGTGGAGTTGTTGTGCAGAGGCTATGATAAGTATTTGCGTCTAGAAATAAGGTTTATGTATCCATTTTTCAATGTTGTGTGATTTGTTCAACGATTTCTTTCTTGATTTTTCGTCATTGATATTCATGACATAAAGATGTTATGATGATATGAAACAACATTGAAGTTATTACACAAATATTAGGTGTCGTTATGACAAGTACAGTGTCCGCGGAAAAGTCTGCACCATATGGGAATTTTTTTTATGCTCATCCTTACTTCAAATCGGTTTTTGGCATTAGGTTCTGCATGACTGAAAACCAAAAAAACACCTAAAATTTTTGACTCGAGACTTGCCTCACACCTGTCAAATGCCATTTGGAAATTTCAAACAAGGAAAAGTGGCATTTTTATAGAAAATATGAAAAATTTTTATAAGAAAATATTGTTCCAAATGATATTTAGAGTCTAATTTGATATTTTTGTTTTCAAAAATATATATTTCAAAGCATACAATTTTTAAAATAGTCCAGAGGCGTATCAAGATTTTAATAGAAATATTTCTTTTTGATGTTTAAACTCCTAATTAGATTATTAGGATTTGAAAAACCATTAGTCAGATACAAACTAATTATTTTAGAGGAATGGTCGCGAAAGAAATCCTAAAAATATTACTTTCCGTAGATATTTGAAAAAAAAAATAAGAAAAAATAAATATTTTTTTTTTCAAAGCAAAAATATCAAATTAGACTCTAAATGTCATTTGGAACAATATTTTCTTATAAATTTTTTTCATATTTTTCATAAAAATGCTACTTTTCCTTGTTTGAAATTTTCAAATGGCATTTGACAGGTGTGAGGTAAGTCTCGAGTCAAAAATTTTAGGTGTTTTTTTTGGTTTTCAGTCATTCAGAATCTAATGCCAAAAACCGATTTGAAGTAAGGATGAGCATAAAAAAAATTCCCATATGGTGCAGACTTTTCCGCGGGCACTGTATAATATCTCTAGACGTAAATAATTACCTATATGCCATTACCATAAAAAAATTTGCTAATTAAGTAGCCAATTTTAAATATTAATAAACCTCTTTTTTTGATAATTGCATAAAAAGAGACGCATACACAACCTTAGACCCCATGCGAACCTTTTCGACCGTTGGGTTGGAACAAAATGAAGTGATAGCAAAATAATAGTCTTGAATAGAGTAGTAGAAGACTGTGTTGGTGTGGACATGAGGTCAATTAAAATGTGTGTATCAGAATTTAAAAGTAGAAATAGGTCTGGTTCGCATCAGAACACCAACACATTAAGAAGAGAGCGGAAAGATGTGAATTATTGATAAAAAAGGGAAAAGGAGAAGGAACATCTAATTACTGCATATCAGTATATCTAGATTGTATTGGCGGAACACGAAGGAAACCATGCAGCGGATGATGTGGTAGTTCTTGCGGTCCAACCCGCAGGCTATTTTTGGCATTACCAATTTCGTTACCCCATATCTTACAACTTTCCTTCGCATATCTGTCAATGCCTTCCAGACATAAAAATATTTTGGCTTATGCCAAAAAGCCTTTTTTGTAATTAAATGGAGGATTTTTGGCTCTCCCTTGATAAATTGCACCTGACAGGATCCCACTCTTGCTCCTGTCATCAGATAGTTTGGTGGAGCGCCAAACCGTTGCCTGGAAAGATTTCAAAAAAAAATTAACTAGATACTTGCCTAACTGTTTCGCAAAAATTTAAAAAAAAATAATAATAATAAAATTTAACGGTTGCCACTTACTTACCGCACTGTTAACGCAATCCCCTTTGACATTTTGAAATCAAGTGAAATACAGTGGGCCATGACGTACTTGTCTTTCGCCAAGTGAGTGAAAAGGTCATCATTGACCTCCTCCACGGTAACTCGGATCTCTTTTTTGTTAAAAAGCTGCCAGAATAAGGACAACTCCCCGTCCCAACAACGGTGTTGTTTAGCCATATTCTATAAAAACAAATGATTGTAATACTTCCCCCTAGCTCTCTTAGTTCGTCAATGGAATATCGACTTAACAGGATCTATCACGAGAAGATGAGAGTGGAGTTGTTGTGTAGAGGCTTTGATAATTATTACTCTCGATTATTATTTGCAATCATATGCTTCTGAACGTTGGTAATAATAAGCTTAATACATAATGAAATACAAAAAGGATTGATATTTCATTACCTATAAAGTGAGACGCATACACAACCTTAGATCCCAACCGAACGCGAATTTGGAAAAATAGTTAAGCCAGAAACGTACATATAACGAGCGCAAATTTGGAAAAATAGTTTACCAGAAACGTATAACGAGCGCAAATTTGGAAAAACAGTTTAGCCAGAAACGTATAACGAACGCAAATTTGGAAAAAATAATTTAGCCAGAAACGTATTATAACGAGCGCAAATTTGGAGAAATAGTTTAGCCAGAAACGTATAACGAACGCAAATTTGGAAAAATAATTTAGTCAGAAACGTATAACGAACGCAAATTTGGAAAAAATAATTTAGCCAGAAACGTATTATAACGAGCGCAAATTTGGAAAAATAGTTTAGCCAGAAACGTATAACGAACGCAAATTTGGAAAAAATAATTTAGCCAGAAACGTATTATAACGAGCGCAAATTTGGAGAAATAGTTCAGCCAGAAACGTATAACGAACGCAAATTTGGAAAAATAATTTAGTCAGAAACATGAAACGAGCGGAAATTTGGAAAAATAGTTTACCAGAAACGTATAACGAGCGCAAATTTGGAAAAATAATTTAGTCAGAAACGTATAACGAACGCAAATTTGGAAAAAATAATTTAGCCAGAAACGTATTATAACGAGCGCAAATTTGGAAAAATAGTTTAGCCAGAAACGTGAAAGAACGCAAATTTGGAAAAAATTATTTCGGATGCAAAAAAAAAAAACGAACGCAAAAATGTAATTTTTAATCAAAATAATTTCGAGCGCAATATGAAAATCGGACGCAAAAAGGGCTCCTTCCTCCCCTCCACCCTTTCCAATCCCATCCAAAAATAAATTCGAAAGTACCTAATTTAGTAAGGAACGTATAACGAGCGCAAATTTGGAAAAATAGTTTATCAGAAACGTATAACGAGCGCAAATTTGG